ACGATACCAGGCTAATCCTAAACTTTCACATCTTATTGCTGTCAAAAGAATTTTTCGGTATCTCAAAGGCAATCCAAAATTGGGGCTTTGGTATCCGAAAAATTATGAATTCGATTTATATGCTTTTGCTGACAGTAATTATGGAGGCTGTGAGCTTTACAGGAAATCAACCTCTGGTGGGTGTCAATTTCTTGGAGACCGACCGGTGTCATGGCAGTGCAAGAAACAGCACACCGTCTCAACCTCAACAGCAGAAGCAGAATATGTCGCTGCTTCTGCCTGTTGTTCTCAAGTTATCTGGATCCAACATCAGCTGTTGGATTACGTTTTGAATTATCTAGAAATCTCTATCTTTTGTGACAATGAGGTTACAATTCAGATTGCTAAAAATTCAGTCCAACACTCGAAAACCAAGCACATCGATATCAAAGTGCATTTCATCAGAGATTGTTATGAGCGTTCGCTCATTCGGTTAGAACAGGTCCCACTGCTAATAATGTGGCGGATATGTTCACAAAACCGTTTAACAAAGTTCGATTCGATGTGCTTGTGGGATTTTTGAAAATGATACGCTTTGAGGACTAATTTTTTTTTGTTTTAGGTTAGTTTAAATTTGCGCATTTTACTTTCATTCTCACCCATGCATAAATTTAGGGGGAAAAATAAACAAAAACCAATCAAAAAAATTAGATAGTGTTCTTTTCATTGCGTATTTCTGTAGGTGTTGTGATTGGGAAGTGATATCAACAAGTGATAACAAGCAATCTGATTCTGTGTAAGGTACCAAAGCTGAATTGTCTAGGCTCTGTGTTCGATGAGCTGGTAGGCACGAAAGATTTAAATTGGACATGACTAGGCATAGATAAACTTAAGGAATCTAGAGACTTGACAAATCTTGACCTAGGTAGATCCGTTTAGTCTGACAATACAACGCTCGGATAGGTTGAGCAGAGAGATAAACACGGGAACCTACGGGATACACTAAATTAATACGCATCTAGAACAGTGGTACAACTTTTCCTTGATGTACGGACTTATGTCCTTAATTCTGGTTCTGATAGGGCGACTGGGGGGTCTGATAAAGTAGGTCTGTAGAAATTATTTTCTTGCTTTCTATCTGTCAGTCATATGTTGTTTCCTCTGTGTGATTGGAAGAGATCCGACCTGGATTGCAACATATGCAACTCTAATTCTACGCACATCCTTATCTATGAAATTCTTTCAATCTGTTAGCCATATACTGTCCCCTATGTGTGATCGGAAGATCCGACCTGGAACACAGCATATGCAACATTCTACCTCTCAATCCCTCTATCTCTGTTAGTCATATGTTGTCCCATCTGCGTGATTGAAAGAGATCCGACCTGGGACACAACATATGTACCTAATTCTAAATCTGACTTCCTCCTTAATAATTGTTTACTCACCTAAAGTAAGGAGTTCTTTGGAAGTTCTTGATAACCAGGGTATATCGGGAAGTGGGGAACACGTTCTAGTGCAACTAAAATTGAACCATTTAAGAGGTTGTCTGTAGATCTCGCTGCTTAATTTAAGTGGACAACAATACCCGTGGTCGTCGTCAGCTAAATGGTTTATTTAGAAAAATCTGTCGATATCCTTCGTGTTTAAGTGGACCACAATACTGGCAATTGACCAGATCTATTCATGAAGGTGAAAGTACTGATAAACAAAGTTAAGACTGTCTCACAACTTTGATCCCAAATATTTTTTGTTTTTGTTAAATTTGTTCATAGTTTTCCTCTATGCACAAATTTAGGGGGAGAATTAAAAATTTTAAAACCAAACAAAAATCAGAAAAACCAAAAATCCAAAAATAGTGTTATTTTTGTTTTATTTCTTTTCAGAAAACATGAAAAATCCAAAAATATTCTTGTTTCTGTTTTATTTTTCAGAAAATATGAAAAATCCAAAAATATTGTGTGCTAAGTTTTCTTTTAGTTTGTTTTGTCTTGAAAAGTTAATTCAGGTGTAGATGAGACTCATGGAGATTGTATCGAGATTTTCTGAGCCGAAGCTTCATCCGTGAGCATCGATGAATTCTCATTCGAAGGAGCAAGAAATGAAGATTATTCTTTCAACATTCAATCCTTCAACCCCAGAAGCAAGATGAAGCTGACTTGAAGATTATGTGTCAAGTTGCATTGAAGCCTCCTCAATCAATTTGCTGCTATCTTGAACCTGTTAAAGTGATCCAAAAAGATTAGTTCTCTCTGATTTTCTCTCTGAAGATTCTCAAGCTGAAAGCGCTATCTTTCAAGAATCTTATCAAGAAGCCTCCTCACCCAATGTGCGTTCAATGTCAAATTTTGAAGATAAGCTCAACCGCTCAAGATGAAGTCATTCATGGAAGATTCATATGTTCATCTTGATGCTGTGAAGAAAATTAAAGTTTAATGCTGAAGCCAAGCTCCCGATGAAGATTGACAAGAAAAGCCAGCTACTTTTTAGGGGGAGTTTGTTGGGTCAGTTAGAAAAGAAAGCTATAAACCAAGGGAGAGATTGTTGGGTCTAAAATTATGGTTTATACTTTGCTTTTCTAAACAACTGTATTTTTCTGTAGTGTAATATGTGTTTGCGGTTGTGTTCACAGCCAGGTTGGTGTGTACGGCCGTAAACGGGTTTACGGCCGTAAACCCGTTCACGGCCGTGAACCCGTGTACTGCCCATGTTTCCTATATATATATAGGTGTTAGGGTGAGGAGTGGTAGATGAGTGTACGACCAAGAGAGAGAGAAAGGAGCTTAAGTGTGTGTATTCTAAGTTGTGATAGAGAGAGAAAGTGAATCTTGTGTAAGGAACTTCATTCATATCATCAATACATTCAAGATTCATCTGGTTCTTCTTCTTCTTCTCTTCTATTTTGATCTGGCATCATCCGTTTGATTGGGATTCTGCACCATCAAACGGATCTGATTGATACTCAAGCGAATTGGGGACTTACAGAGATTGTATTTGTTGTTGTGTCTTCTCGATTTCCTAGTCAAGGATCATCCAAGGTTTCTATTTAATCCATTTATTAGATTGGGAGTGAGTTATTGGATCGAAAATACATATTGATAATTGAAATCATTAATGTGAAGATTAAATGGATTAATTTGATATTTGGAAGTGTTAGAACATTGTTTTTTATGCTTAAGATTGATTCCAATCAAAAGGAATCATTGAAATTGATTTCCTAAGAGCATCCATAGTCCATTGAACTCCACATTACTGCCACATCATCCACATTCCATTAAACCCTATGCAGTTTAATGAAAATCCACATCATCAGCATTATATTTTTAAGCATAATTATAAATTTAAAAATAAAAGATATAACAGTTAAAAAAAAGAATACAATACTTAAAAATACATTAATTAAAAGTTACAAAACCTAAAACATTTAATACCTAAAAATACATTAATTAAAAAACACAAAACCTAAAAATACATTATTTGGGACGTTTTTTACATGACAGTCAAAATAATGTGTAATAGTTCAATTAAGGGTAATATTTTATCGAAATTAGTTTGTATTAGATTTGTAATGGATATATTTCGTTTTAAGTGAGTTTTTATTTTTAAATACAATTTTTATTATGTATTTGAAAAAATAAGACCCAAAAATTGATACATTAAATAATATAATATCTAAAAATATGGTTAATTTAATTTGTGGTTTAATTAAAAAATATAAGAGAATATGATTACATATATATTTGCTTTGAAATTTAATTGAAAAACAAAGATTAATTTCATTCAACCACTCAATCATCATACAACTCTTCCATTCAACCATCATTCATGTCATCACCCACACTCCATTCAACCTCTGTTCAATCCTAATCACCATCTATTCAACTCCTATTAAACTCCCATTGTGAATGCCCTAATATTTTAAAGAGATTTAGGATTGGATTGGGATCAAGAACCTTTAATTTTTCAAGAAAACCCCTCAACGCCTCTCCCGTACAACCGTGCATGGCACTTGCCAACCAGTACAAGATCCTCAAATTTGGTTGTGAGGCCGTACACACTGACATACGTTCATTTTGGGTCCAACCCCATATGATAGTGTTGGAAATCAATGACGTTTAAAACCTTTTTCAAACAATAGAATATAAAAAAGTACCGGAATACACATAAAAATAAATATGAATAAAATGATTTGGAAATAAGCGTGAATCCAAATGAGTTAAATAGATTAACTACAAAACCAGTCATAACAAGGATTTATATACATATATACACTTTCTTGATTGAGGAGTGAATAATATAGAACGAATGTTCAAGGAAGAACACATTTATAGATATCCACACGAGCATCTTGAAACATCAATTAGAATGTTAACTCCTCGTTACAATCAAAACAAGCATCTCCTTTATTTTTCTTGGATCAAAATCAAAGAACAAGGGGGTGCCTTCAGCCATTGATGAGAGGAGGAAAGGAAAAGGGTGTAACCCCTAATTTCAAAATCCTTTGTTTAATTGAATATTACAAGGATGTGGGCTTTGATCCCCTTAAGCATTTTCAATCGATTAAACCACAAAGTCCAACCTTATCATATGGACAAACACTATTTATTAGACAATAGACATTAGATAGACCCACTTAGCCCAAAAAATAATAAATAAACTTTTTGGTGGAATATTTTTACTTGTGCATTTTGTTGGTGTGTAGGGCTATTTGAGGACATGGCTAGGAGATGGTTAAAAGAGGCCCTAGTTAAATTTCAAGGAAAATAGACAAAAATCAAAGAAGACATGAACAAAAAGTTTTTCAACATTGAGGAACTATGTTTTTCCACACTTGAAATACATGGGCAGTGTAACCCGGTGATTTTAGCATAAAAGTGAAACACGATTTAAATCGAAGGAAAATTACTTTTGATTTACATGGTCCGTGTTTTTCACCACTTGAATTACACCAGTCGTGTAATAGGCATACACCAATTATTGGGGCACTTTCCTAATCTGTTAAAAAAATGGAGTTGGGTTCATTTCTAAACAGCTTTGATTTTTGGAAGAAAAGGTGATTTTGAGAGAAACTTTTGCTCTGAATATCATTTGGAAAAACTTGTTTAACTCTTTGTAACTTATTTGTATTGTACTTTGATTATAGTTTGAACTTGTAAGTATTTTAAGTCATGATATGCTAAAAAACCAATTTCGGTTTCGTTATTGATTTCTAATGCAATTAATTTGTAAGGTTTGATGTTAGACAAGATTATCTAATCTAGTGGTTCAAGTTTTGTTTGTACTATAATCTTGAATTTATAACTTGATTCATGTTTGCCACTTGAGTTAGGTTAGTTCTTGTATTGCTATTTAGTTTATGGAAATCGTAATTGTTTTGTGAATTAAAGCTCGTAACAATCATCAAATTGGTTCTATGAAAGGGTTTAATTTCTTTGTAAACTTGAATTTACATGTTTTCACACTTCCAGTCTTATGAGAAGAAATGGATATTGTTGGGAATGCTTGTATTAAACGTCATGCAACTTTTCAATTTATTTTAAGAGTTTGTTTAGACTGAGTTAGTAAGGTTAGGTTTAGCTTAAGAGCTTATTTTAACTAAATAATTTGACAAGCAAGGAGATACTAGAGCTTGTTAGTATTTCCTAGTACCAACTTATATTAAAATCTAAATTGACATCAAATAATTTATTTTTTTGAACAGCAGATCAGTTGGTTAGATGTTAGAACTCCAAAGTTAGAAAACTCCTTTGCCCAGCGGAACCTGGGGCTTCTACTCCAAGAGGCATTAACCTCTACCAACCAGCCTAACCCAGTTGGCAATATCAAATAATTATTAACTTGTATACTTGATGAAATAGATACAAAACTAGATCTTATTTCTTTTTTTTTTCAACCCTTATTTTTAGTGCATGTTAACAAAAATTTAGTTTATCAATTACAACCCCCCATTGTTTTATCATTATTGTTTTAAGACTTGTAAGTTTTATATAAAAGGCGTGTGACCTTTTATCACTTACAAGACTTGGATATCCATTTGAGATAGAGTTTGTGTTGGCACTATAGGAGGCCTTCATGACACATTAGGTCTTAAAAACCTTCTATGTGGTGCATGTGTATGTACGGTCGAAGAGTTTTGAGCTTATGAGTTTTAACTATGTTTTGTGCCTACTAAGATAACATATCATAATTAACCATGAATCCTTGGGGATAGACCTTAGGAGCACTTTCAGAGAAGGACATATAAATGAACCCTTTGGGATAGATAGATAGACAGAGAGACAGACATATATATATATATATATATATATATATAT